TTTTGTGACAATAAGGTCCTTGCGCTTTCACCTTTCATGACGACGTTGACGCGGGTAACGACCGGTTTTCGTGACGTTAAGGAGGGTATTTTGGGGAAATAGCGCGGTTGTGGTGAGTGCGGCGGATGGGCCGGCGGAGAGGGGAGATCGTGGCCGTTGGATGGGAATACTTTGTAGGCGTAGAGGGAGGGTGTGGGGTGAGGGTAGAGTGATCAAGTCAAGGTGGGTAAATGACGAGTCAGCCCTCCAGGGGTTGATGGAATCTGGTGAGCTGGACCCAAACCGTCAAGTGCTTTGGTTTGGACTTTGGGTCACGTTCTTCTTTTTTCTAATTATTTTTGTGGTAATTATTATTATTTTTTTAATTATGGAACTTTTTTATTTTGTTATATATTGCTTTCATGGGACAATGAAATGATTATTTTTGATCTGACAGAAGAAAATGGTTAGGAGGCAAAGCCGTTGATAACGGCCACTTAACCGATTTATCAGATTTTTTGTCTAAAAAATGTTAATTCTTTTTTGGATGGTACACAGATTAGCATAATAAAATAAAATTGTTCAACTATCACATGGTGATCTTGTGTTTGAGAATGAATTTCAGGCGCGTATTTTATACACTATATTTTGGCTTCGATTTCTGGTGCTAGTGATTTACACGATGGTGGCCAGAAGAAAATGTCAGCAAGTGAATCAGACGATGGTGGTCAAGGGAGGCTGAAATGCATTTGTGAGTCTTTCTGACTTCCGAAAAAGTGGACTACCGTGACAAAATCACTACCTAGTACTTGAAAAAAAAAAGTCCCTTTTTTTTTTTTTTTTTGCTGTAGAAACTTTTTCATTTATTGTGTTGGAGGTTGGATCATCTATTAAAACCGATTTGTAATATTTAATGGGTCACCTTTTTTTTAATTAGCTGATCACATCTTTTACATTTATTTTTCATAAGATAATTCGAACACAAAATTTCCGATACAACAATAAATGCTTTTGACTAACTTGCAATATAAATCTCTTGCACCATATTTTAATGTTTTTTTTTTCCTTTTGGATATGAGTAATATTTAGAAAGGCAGATCGAACAAAAAACTCAACACGCAAAAGTAATTAATCAAAGATTCACACAGATGACGATGTTTCTTTTGACTTTGAAATATAATTATGAATCTCGCCATTGTGTGGTTTTTTTTTTTTCTTTTCAAAATTCACAATCAAAAGTAAGAAATTGTTGTGTAAAAAGAAAATCAGTCATAATAATTAAAATAGAAAGTGCAAGCATAACTTTTTCCTTTTTACAAACATTTTCCCAGCCACTTGATTAATATGTTTTTTATTTAGATTTTTTTGTAAAACTTTACCATTATTAAGAGAGGGCGAAATTTTTTTAAATTATTACAATAATTTGAACGAGTTTCGAACCCGAAACGCATTAGGGGAAACCAAAATATTAAACCACGTAGAATATCTTGTTGAAAAGGAAAATGATATACATAAAAAATTCAAGTGGTGGTTTGTCACCTTGCTACAACCCGCAAGAGTATAATTTTATTTTATTCCACTATCTCCATGTCTCTCTTTATCTTCAACAGAGATGTCATATTTTATTTTTAATTTCTAGTAAGTTCTGCGGTATTTTACTTTAATATTTTTGTCGGTTCAAATTCTTAAATGACTAAAATCCAATTACAAAAATATAAAAAATAAATAAAAATAAACCGCAAAGTATAAGATACTCAAAAAGACCATTCGATTTTCGGTTACTTTTGGCTCGAACAAACCTGATAGAGATTATTTTCGGATCTTACCATTTGGAGCCCAAAGAGAAGAAATTTCAAACCATTCAAATTAAATATGATGGTTCCAATTAACTCATTTTGTTAGTTTACCTCACACAAACTAAAGTCCTAAATCTTTCTTTCTCTCTCAAACGGTCCTAATCTTTTAGTCTTAAGTTCTAAATTGTGAGGTCTGGAGATGATACAAATCAAAGTAAGACGGCACTGTCACATATACCATGTATGCAGGCTGTTGCGTGCCCCATTCACAGGAAGTTAGAAGCCAACGTGGATGGATTAGGTTTTACGGTTATGCATCACCCACTACATATGGAATTTGGATTCGACATTGCATCGACCAAAACCATCCAATTAGTCAAATTATCAATTAAACTAATCCACTTGTTAGTTGTGTGTTTGGGGATAAATTAAGCAACCCACCACATGTTACTTCCACTAATTAAAAGGGTCATAACTATCGAATATTTAGACACTTGTCTCTCAATTTCCTCCAATATCTAAGCTACCACCAACCCCTTCATCTCTCTCTAGCTAACATTCCTGTACAAACAAGGCATACAAGATTTTAGGTTTTGGTAAAGAGGGTTCCTTTTTGTATTTTATTTTTATTTTTATTTTTATGGGTGAGATTTTAATCACTTTTATGGTTTTCAATGGGCTCGTTTGGAAGTACCTTTAAAATGACTGAAAACATTTTAAGTACAAATATTTACAAGTGATCCATCAAATAATAACTCTTAAAGTAGAGTGAATATTCGATATGACTACCTAACTAGGACATCTCTCATAAAAGAGAAAACAAACGTGAGGTCAGATGAAATCAAAATAGAAGATCCCATGTATTTTGTAAGAAATATTCTACGAATGACATATTAATGTCTCTCAGCTGAGTTTTTTATCCTCAAAATGATGCTACAACCCATAACAATTCAAAATGCCTGCTCATGATTCATAAATGAGGTCAATTACCAAAAATAACCTTTTCAAAATGGGCCAGTGGCCCAAAAGCTGACAACCTGTTAATATGTGCTGGCCCAGTGATCCCTAAGATTCTAGGAGTGTTAAACTTGTGCATACACATGATTGTGGGTGAAGTTGGCAAGCCCGCTAACCGTGCCTAACTCAAACTAAAATATATCCTGGTGACATGTAAGAGGCCGTAACAAAAACTCGAGGAGATTTTTACGTTTGGGTTTGCACTTCCCAAAAACTTAACATATAATTGTTACAAAATTTTAGATGCAAATTTGGATTGTATATGTTAGTTCATAAAATAAGTGCACCTAATTAATAACATGTGCACATTTATGAATGTGACATTCTCTTGAACTCTCAGATCCAAACAAATACAAAGAAGAATTGTAAAACATATCTCATTATATGATATGAACTCACGTATTACAACTCGAATACTCACGAATCACCAATAAATAACGGTTTCAAAAATGCAGAAAAAAACTTGCATTGCGTTCAAGTTTGTATTCCCCGTCTCATAGTTTAGCTTGTATTAGAATATAGAACGACTATTTGATAGTTCCTACCAAAAACATCTCAAAAAGTTGATGAGGAAATGGAACAGGTAATTTTCGCGATCGAGCAGTTCGTGTCGAACCAATCTTTCGAGGATGATGTTCTGCGGAAGAAGCTCGCTGTAGTAGAGCACCGTCGAAACTGAGGCAGCAGGATCGGTAGCTAAGGATGTTAGCAGCCTCAGCAGAGGCCTAAACATCAATGGTGTAAGAGACTGCACCACCAAAAAAAACAGAAACCACTAAAACATGTCACTAAAAATAAATAAATCGAAACAATATTTAAATTAAATTTGTTCATGCATACCATGGATTCTGGAGATCGAGGAAGGACGAGATGGAGATGAAGTTTCTGAACCGGATTTCGAAGAGAAGTGAGGGTTTTGATTTGGGGTGTTTAATTTGTGAGGATTTTATTTTATTAGTTTTATCTGTCTATCTTTCAGCAAACATTCAAACCTACCTGTCTGAAAAAAATTTAACATGAAAAAAAATTGGGTAGTGCTTAAACCACCAGGAAGAATAGGTGGAGTTCATTAAAAAAATGCAAAACCAAACTCTTTGTCTCTTTGATCAAACAAAAACAAGTATTTTTGTATTGATCTAGTGATCAAAATCATTAGATAATTGAGAATTCAAACAAAATTGAGCAGTTTTCTTGAACTAATTTGGTCGTTAAAGGAAAATTCGTAAATTAAGTAGGGTTTAGTCGAACTAAGATTTGAGGGGATTTTGAAAGACTAGGTTTTCCTAGTGTTTTAGAACCCATGCAAATCTGAGTATAGTCTGTTGAGATAATACCATAATTTACGCATCACATTTGGATCATATCTCTAATAAAGATGAAATTCACATGTGTTGATGAGCCTGTACAATCAGATTCGTGATGTGGGTGTCTAAGTGGCAGAACAGAACCTATACAAATCCTTAGTACCATATCTCTAATAATTGTATAAGAAATCGCTTCGAATGGAGCATTTAGAAGGTTTTATGGGAAAGTTTTGATCATCCAACCAACATATTATTACCAGGAATGAAATTGGGAATGAATTTTTAACAAGGATCCTCTTTGTGGGGATCTAGGGGTTCAATCAATATTGTCCGTTCATTGTATATCGCGCGGTCAGTTTTCGTTAGATACTATTTATATTCAATTTTAAATTTTAAATTTAAAATGATTACTTACCGCTTGATGTACTATGAATGGACACGATTGATTGATCCCCGAACCCTCACAAGGTGGATCCGGAGAGGATCCTTGTTCTGAATTTTTAAAACAGGACAGAAATTAGGAATTAAATTCATATTCAATCGGAAGTCAGAGAGTATCCTTGTTCTGAATTTTTAAAACAGGACAGAAATTAGGAATTAAATTCATATTCAATCGGAAGTCAGAAATCGAAATAATTACAACACCAATTGAATGTAGCTCCTACGGTGTGAAGACGATGGGTTGGTCCAAGGATTTTTTTCCCATTATTTCCACGAACCTTTGGAAAGGACTCTGCACAGTTCAAGTCAATGGTCCAAAAAATACGTAGCGAAAACCGCCTAATTTCGAAGAAAATGAAAAAAAAAGTCAACAAAAAATCAAAGGTTGAACTGTCAAGAGTGCTGGTAGAATTATACAGATGGCTGCAAATAAATTGGAGACTGAGACAATAAGAGGAGTGAAATTCAATTCCACATACAGAAAACATGAGACTCAATGTTGTGCTAATTCTGAAAATTTTCTCATGTTTCTGCATGCAGTCTTTTTTATCTTCCTCTCATGCACAAACCCTAGATTTTCCTGTCCTGCTCAAGCAAGGGCAACGGCTAGCCGATCGAGATAGGAATTATCTTGTTTCGGAAAATGGCGGTTTATTCAAGCTAGGGTTCTTGAGTCCTGGAACTTCAAGTGCTTCCGGTGCCACCAGCTATCGTTACTTGGGCATGTTTTACACAAGTCTTCCAAGTCATCCAGATGCAGTGTGGTTGGCTAACCCTAAAACTCCGATCAGCGATTCGTCGGGTGTTTTCACATTGGATAGTGACGGAAAGTTGAAGATTGTGTACAGTGGGGGGGAAATATCTGTATCAGATTCCAATCAAACAGTTTCAGGTAATGTGACTGCCTCTTTTCTGGACACTGGAAATCTTGTGTTACAAGAGTTTGCTTCCAATGGAGCATTCGGAAGCGTTTTATGGCAAAGTTATGATCATCCGACCAACACATTGTTGCCCGGAATGAAATTAGGCATGAACTTCAAGACAGGACAGAATTGGACACTTTTTTCATGGTTGAGCGATCAAGTCCCTGAGCCAGGCGCTTTCAAGCTAGGCGTGGATCCTGGTGCCGCCAACCAACTGGTCATCTGGCGGCGAGGGGATGTGTACTGGACTAGTGGTGTATGGAAAAATGGTAGTTTTCTAGGATCCCCTGAATTGACAAGAAGGGTAGATTTGTTTGAGTTTACTTTTGTTTCAAGCAAAGAGGAGAAGTACTTTTCTTATTCCGTGAAAAATACTTACACATATTCAAGGTGGGAACTGAGTTTACAGGGGCAAATTTCGCAGTCCGTTTTAGCCCCAAACAAGACTACTTGGGAGAGCACAGTTACCGGTCCATGCAAATTGAACATGAATTATCCGGATGCAATGTGCATAGAGGAGAAGATTACAGAATGCAGGAACGGTTCTGAGCTGTTTGTGCCGATAAGAGGTTATTTTGCTGCGGTCAAATTCCTATACGCTGATGATGATACTAGCTTGGCTATTAGTGATTGTCATGCTGTCTGCTGGAGAAACTGCACCTGTATCGGATATGAAAGTTTGTATACCGAAAATGGGACTGGATGTGTGTATATGATGGAAGGAGCAAAATTTGAAGAGAGTGATTACTTTGGCTTTACTTATATCCTCACTATAGCGAGGAATAGTAGCAAAGGTATGCATCTTCTCATTCTTCCTTCCTACTCTATGATTTGTGCCCTAAATTTGATGTTTTGAGTTTCATACGCTGTCTCTCAATAGCTTCTTCGAGTACAATGCTAATTTTGTGGTTGGTCTAGATGGAACTCCTACTGAAGAAGGAAAAAAAATCGGATCAGCAGGAAGTGTAGCGAAAAAATGGTGGATATGGTTTATCATAAGCATTACACTTTCTGTGACAGTGCTACTTTTAGGTTACTTGTGCTACATAAGGAAAATCAAACGTAGATTCATGCAACACACCGGTAAGTTGTTAAGAATCATAAAGGATTTCATTACTGCTAAGTTGCTAACATAGTTATGAATTAAGCATGCATATAACTCTAGATACTATTGCATTCATCGAAACTGTGCAGGCCTAGAGCAAGGATTAAATGAGTTGAGATCTCAAATTACCAGAATCGGCAATGTACACAGGCTCAAACTAGGCAAAAGTATAGGCCAGGAGTTTCAGATGTTCAGTTTCTCTGGAATAGTAGCTGCAACGAATAATTTCTCATCTGGCAGCAAGCTCGGAGAGGGTGGTTTTGGACCAGTTTACAAGGTAAAATCTACGTTGAATTATCGAACAATAGCTTTCTGAAAATTGGTACCTGACTTTTAATAACAATGCAGGGTGTGTTACCAGATGGCCAACAGGTAGCAGTAAAGAGACTAGCCAGAAATTCGGGACAGGGACTAGAAGAATTAAGGAACGAGATTACACTTATAGCTGAACTTCAACACAGAAATCTTGTTCGGATTCTTGGTTGTTGCATTCAAGGAGAAGAGAAGATTTTGATCTATGAGTACCTGACGAATGCAAGCTTGGACGCCTTTCTTTTCGGTTTGTCCACAACTCCTTTCAAATCCAAAGACTCCCTTTTCTGCCTTCCCCTGCACCTGTAATTTGCTAACCATGCTATATATGAATTTCAATAAACTGCAGATTCAACTAAAGGGAAGCATTTAGATTGGCAACAACGCGTGAACATAATCGAAGGGATTGCGCAAGGACTTCTCTATCTTCACAAGTATTCTAGAGTTAGAATCATACACAGAGATTTGAAAGCTAGCAACATTTTACTTGATGGAAACTTGAATCCTAAGATATCAGATTTTGGAATGGCCAGAATTTTCGAACAGAATGAATCCACATCAAAGACGAAGAGAGTTGTAGGAACCTAGTAAGTATACACAAAAATCTCTGTATACGCATTTCTTCGAATGTGAATGTTTTCTAATTGCAGAAGAAGATTTTGTGCAGCGGTTATATGTCTCCGGAGTATGCCATGAAAGGCATTTTCTCTGACAAGTCCGACGTTTACAGCTTCGGAGTTCTATTGCTGGAGATTGTGAGTGGCAAAAAGAACACTGAATTCGTTTCATCTACTGCTCTTAGCCTCGTTGAACTGGTAAGTTATTAAAACAGATCAAATTTTGTATTCAATTTCAACCAGAGCAGAAAAAACTCAATCACCGCAATGAAATTTAAACGATTGCAGGCTTGGGATTTGTGGAAACAAGGTGACACTCAAGAGCTAAAGGACACGTCGGTAGACTCGTGCCCGGAAGACGAAGTTTTGAAGTTTATTCATTTGAGTCTGCTATGTGTGCAAGAGTATGCAGCTGATAGACCTACCATGGCAGAAGTCGTATCCATGCTCACAAGCGATTCCATGTTTTTCCCTGATCCGAAGCAACCTGCATATCACATTTCGAGAAGTGAAGTTGGGTCATCGAGGCCTGATGGGAGGCGACCGGACATGGGTTCGGCAGATTATGTGCCCATAACTGTGATGGAAGCCAGGTAAAAACCTTCATTTTACATCAGATATAAAGGAATGTAAAATACTTTAAATTCGGAATTTGAGAATTAAGAAAAAGAACACTTTGGTAGTCTCTCGGGATGCAAATAAGGCGAACCATGCTACTATCCTTAATAAAATCACAAATGATCTGCTTTTTACTTTCTGGAGCACCAGCACCATGAGATGCAGAAGTTTGACGATGTTGTATTTTGTTCCTTCACTGCACCGTAACTCACAGTGCTGATGCTCGAGTAAGGAGTAAAGAGCAGGCCATTTACAATTTTCTTAAGGATTCTTAACGAGAACTTATTAGGACTTTAGCTGCGAGTTTAATGTTTTGGATCTTGATGGACAAGAAATTACCAAGATCTTGATCTCACTATAGAGAAGTTTCAATGGCCATCAGGAATAATGCATGAGCTGAAGCACAAAACTTTTACCCTTACTTCATGAGGTTAAACCGTTTGATCACATAAACCTTCTGCATGTACGAAACTACTCAAGCTTCTTTCTTGTATGTCCCACCCACCATGTTACTTGTATGGCCTGAGTAAACCGTTATGGTGACATTCTGTGTCAATAATACAATATTATGTGTCAGTTTCTTTCTACGTATCATTATATCATTAGCACAAAACGCTACTGTGACAGTGTATCCATACCATAAAAGTTGCTTTCATGTCACCGAACGCTAATATTTTACCCTTGCATTCTAGGTCACATGTTCGAATTCTCCCTCCTAACATTACTCCCATAACAACTTAAAAAATCGATGGGAAATGAATTATGCCAAAACAAACTGCGTTTTGGGCTTTTACTAGTCAGCTCCTTATTGCATTTTACTTTGTACTAGTCTTCTGGACTTTCCCCGCCTCATGGTTTAGCTTATATTAGAATATAGAACGACTATTTGATAGTTCCTACCAAAAACATCTCAAAAAGTTGGTGAGGAAATGAAACAGGTAATTTTCGCGATCGAGCAGTTCGTGTCGAACCAATCTTTCGAGGATGATGTTCTGAGGAAGAAGCTCGCTGTAGTAGAGCAACGTCGAAACTGAGGCAGCAGGATTGGTAGCTAAAGATGTTAGCAGCCTCAGCAGAGGCCTAAACATCAATGGTGTAAGAAACTGCACCACCAAAAAAACAGAAACCGCTAAAACGTCACAAAAAATAAACAAGTCGAAACAATATTTAAATTAAATTTGTTCATGCATACCATGGATTCTGGAGATCGAGGAAGGACGAGATGGAGATGAAGTTTCTGAACTGGATTTCGACGAGAAGTGAGGGTTTTGATTTGGGGTGTTTAATTTGTGAGGATTTTGTTTTATTAGTTCTATCTGTCGATCTTTCAGCAAACATTCAAACCTACCCGTATGAAAAAAATTTGACATGAAAAAAATTTGGGAAGTGCTTAAACCACCAGGAAGAATAGGTGGAGTTCGTTAACAAAATGCAAAACCCAATTTTGTCTCTTTGATCAAGCAAAAAACAAGTATTTTTGTATTGATCTTGTGATCAAAATCATTAGATAATTGAGAATTCAAACAAATTTGAGCAGTTTTCTTGAACTAATCGACACCATTTGATAATTTTTAGACTAAACTTAAGAATTGGTAATTTCGTTTAGATTTGGTCACTAAAAGAAAAATTTGTAAATTAAGTAGGGTTTAGTCAAACTAAGATTTGAGGGGGTCTTCCTAGTGTCGTCAACTAGGTTTTCGAATAGACGTTTTTATAACTCATGCAAATTTGAGTATAGTCCTTTGAGATGATACTCTTATCATAATTTACATATCACATTTGTATCATATCTCTAATAAAAATGGAATCCACATGTGTTGGTGGGCCTGTACAATCAGATTCGTGATGTGGGTGTCTAAGAGGCAGAACATAACCTATACAAATCCTTAGTGCCGCAACCAAGCATGCACTTTGTTGGAAATTATATATTATAGTATGAAATATTGTAATATATAATTTTAATAATTGAATGAAAAATAGTGTTAACCAATTTCTTAGAAAAGTTATGATGTTTAGGTGTATTTCCTTAATAAGTGATGTATACCTATAGATCAAAAGTTACATCTCTTAAATAAGTAGAAATTGGATCCTATATAAACCCATGAAATCATTGGTATTAAATATAGAAAATTAGGGTTAATTTTTACTTTTGAGAAATAGGGTTTCCCCACTTTATTTCTCTCATTCTTAGTCAATCAAATTCCGAATCATATCTTGAGAGTACTGAATATATAAAGTTCATTAGAGTCTAAAGATTGAAGTGCTCTGACTTCAGATTATAGATTGTTGAATCCTGGGTGACGAATGCCTACCGAACTACAAGCACAAGAGTAGGGGCAAAATTCTGTCTTTAGGACATTGCATTTATACAAGCCTCAATCTCCAAGTTTGTCAGTTTTTCTAACTTTCTCTCTGATTGTTTATATTAATCTCATACATAAATTGATGTTGTGAATTTTTTTCTTCTTTCACCGAATTGTGTCTTTGGGGTAGTTGAGACGATGCACCGCTTAGCATCATCTGATGAAAAGGCACTGGAATTTGGTTTAGAAGATAGACATACCAAGAGGCCATAATTGAGAGAAGATTAAGTCTTGAAATTATTTAAACGAGGAACAACGTCAATGTTTGGATAGTTAGTTTGTGGACCTCACTAAAAGTGTACATACTTTCATGCTGCTCTAAAGAAGTGTGCATTTCCGAGAAGAGGAAATGCCATGGCCACCAATAAGTTAAAGTGTGGGGGTCTTTCGTAAAAGGAATGACGAGACACTGAAAAAAAGGCTTATTAAGTAAGCATGCATAGTTGAATTAGACAAGGTCATGCTTATTAAGTAAGCATATGAAACTGAAAGTACATAGCTATTGGGTTGTGTTATTCATAGCTTAGAGCATCCACATGTACTAGATGAATTCAACGATGCTAACTAATTGAATTTTTTACAATATGAAGTCAAAGTACATAAGTGGAAATACATGCAGTCACATAAGGAAATCAATCCTCAATTAGAGGTGTACTGGATAATCTGGATATAAAGCATATTGACTTTATACGTTGTGATGGTTTGCCGAATAGGACAAAGTAGAATGATTAAATTGAAAAGAGTAATTTGCAAGATAAAAGAGATAATAAGCAATATATATTATGATAAATAATGTTTAAGGTATAACAAGGTTAAAGACCTTCTTACAAATATCTTAAATGTGGGGGAGTTTACCCAAGTGCTTAGTGTTAGCAAATTACCTAGTAAGTAAATCCTAATATAATTTTTGGGACTTGACATTTCAAACAATGTCAAACAACTACTCTCGTATGAAATATAATTTCATAAGATGGATTGTGCACACTATTAATAATAGTCAACTTAGTGGTGGATTCAATTATTAAAGGTTTGACTAGAGAGTAAGTTGATCATTGAGGGGAATGAGGTTAAAGCCAACATAACTAATGGATCAGCCGGGTAGAAACCTTACTTAGTTGATTGGAGATCCCATGATCTAAGTTCAATAGGCAAATTGGTTGGGAATGATTCAAAGAAGTTAACACACTACATACCTCATTCATATGATGGAAGAAGTGTGTTGTCTGCAGAAGTTTTAGGGATTATATTTATACTTAATGACGGTGATATCTTATAAATAAGAGGAATAGAACAGACTATTCTTAATCAGTGGTCACCTATGTGAGAGTAGAAGTTGGTCGCTTCTATGAGAATGAGATGGCTAAATTCTCTAAAGCTCTCATGAATCCGGGATTTGTTCAGGACCAAAATGAACACAACCGTATGAACCGTAATATATTAGGATAAGTGATGTGTTTTACTTAATGTCTCGGTTTATTGTTGCGGTGAATAGTTCAAGATCTTCCACATCCATTGCGTCACCAAGTAAATCCGATAAGTATTCACTAGGGTAGGTTCAAGTCCAAAAGACACCTCTCCCGATGCATCTCTTGTCCGCATGTACTCTCAAATTCTTTCTAATTTTTCATTCATGTGGGGGATTGTTGGAAATTATATATTATAATATGAAATATTGTAATATATAATTTTAATAATTAAATGAAAAATAGTGTTAACCAATTTCTTAGAAAGGTTATGTTGTTTAGGTGTATTCCCTTGATAAGTGATATATACTTATAGATAAAAAGTTACATCTATTTAATAAGTAGAAATTGGCCTATATAAACCCATGAAACCATTGGTATTAATATAGAAAATTAAGGTTAATTTTTACTTTTGAGAAATAAGGTTTCCCCACTTTATTTCTCTCATTCTTAGTCAATCAAATTCCGAGTCATATCTAGAGAGTACGGAATATATAAAGTTCGCTAGAGTCCGAAAATTGAAGTTTTTTGACTTTGGATTATAAATTGTTGAATCCTAGGAGACGGATGCCTACCGAACTACAAGCACAAGAATAGGGGCGAAATTATGTCTTTAGGACATTGCATTTATGTAAGCCTCAATATCTAAGTTTGTCAGTTTTTCTAAATTTCTCTGTAGTTGTTTATATTAATCTCATACATAAATTGATGTTGTGAATTTCTTTATGATTATTGAAATTTTTGTGTTATTTTCATATTTTCTAATATTGCTCCAACACACTCAACAGCTTCTGCCCACTCTTAATCTTATTTGAGACGTAATTGTATAAGATGTAGATTAGGTTTTATGGGAAAGTTTTGATCATCCAACCAACACATTATTACCAGGAATGAAATTTGGAATGAATTTTTAAGACAGGACAGAAATTAGGAATTAAATTCATGTTCAATCGGAAGTCAGAAATCAAAATAATTACAATACCAATTGCACGTAGCTCCTACGGGGTGAAGACGATGGGGCAAGGATTTTTTTTCCATTATTTCCACGAGCCTTCGGAAAGGACTGTGCATAATTCAAGTCAATAGTCCAAAAAACACGTAGCCAAAACTGTATAATTTTAAAGAAAATGAAGAAATAGTCAACGGAAAAATCAAAGGTCAGAACTGTCAACAGTGCTGGTAGAATTATACAGATGGCAGCAAATAAAATGGAGAATGAGACAATGAGAGGAGTGAAATGCAACTCCACAGAGTTATACAGAAAACATGAGACTCAATGTTGTGCTAATTCTGAAAATTTTCTCATGTTTCTGTATGCAGTCATTTTTATCTTCCTCTCATGCACAAGCCCTAGATTTTCCTGTAATGCTCCAGCAAGGGCAACTGCTACCCGATCAAGATAAGAATTTTCTTGTTTCGGAAAATGGCGGTTTCTTCAAGCTAGGGTTCTTGAGTCCTGGAACTTCAAGTGCTTCCGGTGCCACCAGCGATCGTTACTTGGGTATATTTTACACAAGGCTTCCAAGTCATCCAGATGCAGTGTGGTTGGCTAACCCTAAAACTCCGATCAGCGATTCATCGGGTGTTTTCACATTGGATAGTGATGGAAAGTTGAAGATTATGTACAGTGGGGGGGAAATATCTGTGTCAGATTCCAATCAAACAGTTTCAGGTAATGTGACTGCCTCTTTACTAGACACAGGAAATCTTGTGTTACAAGAATTTGCTTCCAATGGAGCATTCGGAAGCGTTTTATGGCAAAGTTTTGATCATCCGACCAACACATTGTTGCCCGGAATGAAATTAGGCATGAACTTCAAGACAGGACAGAATTGGACACTTTTTTCATGGTTGAGTGATCAAGTCCCTGAGCCAGGCGCTTTCAAGCTAGGCATGGATCCTGGTGCCGCCGACCAACTGGTCATCTGGCGGCGAGGGGATGTGTACTGGACTAGTGGTGTATGGAAAAATGGTAGTTTTCGAGGATCCCCTGAATTGACAAGAAGGGTTGATTTGTTTGAGTTTACTTTTGTTTCAAGCAAAGAGGAGAAGTACTTTTCTTATTCCGTGAAAAATACTTCAACATATTCAAGGTGGGAACTGAGTTTACAGGGGCAAATTTCGCAGTCCATTTTAGCCCCAAACAAGACTACTTGGGAGAGCACAGTTACCGGTCCATGCAAATTGAACATGAATTATCCGGATGCAATGTGCATAGAGGAGAAGATTACAGAATGCAGGAACGGTTCTGAGCTGTTTGTGCCGATAAGAGGTTATTTTGCTGCGGTCAAATTCCTATACGATGATGACGATACTAGCTTGGCTATTAGCGATTGTCATGCTGCCTGCTGGAGAAACTGCACCTGTATCGGATATGAAAGTTTGTATACCGACAATGGGACTGGATGTGTGTATATGATGGAAGGAGCAAAATTTGAAGAGAATGATTACTATGGCTTTACTTATATCCTTACTATAGGGAGGAATAGTAGCAAAGGTATGCATCTTCTCATTCTTCCTTCCTACTCTATGATTTGTGCCCTAAATTTGATGTTTTGAGTTTCATACGCTGTCTCTCAACAGCTTCTTCGAGCACAATGCTAATTTTGTGGTTGGTCTAGATGGAACTCCTACTGAAGAAGGAAAAAAAATCGGATCAGCAGGAAGTGTAGCGAAAAAATGGTGGATATGGTTTATCATAAGCATTACACTTTCTGTGACAGTGCTACTTTTAGGTTACTTGTGCTACATAAGGAAAATCAAACGTAGATTCATGCAACACACCGGTAAGTTGTTAAGAATCATAAAGGATTTCATTACTGCTAAGTTGCTAACATAGTTATGAATTAAGCATGCATGTGACTCTAGATACTATTGCATTCATCGAAACTGTGCAGGCCAAGAGCAAGGATTAAGTGAGTTGAGATGTCAAATTACCAGAATCGGCAATGTACACAGGCTCAAACTAGGCAAAAGTATAGGCCAGGAGTTTCAGATGTTCAGTTTCTCTGGAATAGTAGCTGCAACGAATAATTTCTCATCTGGCAGCAAGCTCGGAGAGGGTGGTTTTGGACCAGTTTACAAGGTAAAATCTACGTTGAATTATCGAACAAAAGCTATCTGAAAATTGGTACCTGACTTTTAATAACAATGCAGGGTGTGTTACCAGATGGCCAACAGGTAGCAGTAAAGAGACTAGCAAGAAATTCGGGACAGGGACTAGAAGAATTAAGGAACGAGATTACACTTATAGCTGAACTTCAACACAGAAATCTTGTTCGGATTCTTGGTTGTTGCATTCAAGGAGAAGAGAAGATTTTGATCTATGAGTACCTGACGAATGCAAGCTTGGATGCCTTCCTTTTCGGTTTGTCCACAACTCCTTTCAAATCCAAAGACTCCCTTTTTCTGTCTTCCCCTGCACCTGTAATTTGCTAACCATGCTATATATGAATTTCAATAAACTGCAGATTCAACTAAAGGGAAGCATTTAGATTGGCAACAACGTGTGAACATAATCGAAGGGATTGCGCAAGGACTTCTCTATCTTCACAAGTATTCTAGAGTTAGAATCATACACAGAGATTTGAAAGCTAGCAACATATTACTTGACGGAAACATGAATCCTAAGATATCAGATTTTGGAATGGCCAGAATTTTCGAACATAATGAATCCACATCAAAGACGAAGAGAATTGTAGGAACATAGTAAGTACACACAAAAATCTCTGTATATGCATTTCTTCGAATGTGAATGTTATCTAATTGCAGATGATGATTTTATGCAGCGGTTATATGCCTCCGGAGTATGTCATGAAAGGCATTTTCTCTGACAAGTCCGACGTTTACAGCTTCGGAGTTCTATTGCTGGAGATTGTGAGTGGCAAAAAGAACACTGTTTTCGTTTCATCTACTGCTGGTAGCCTTGTTGTACTGGTAAGTTATTAAAACAGATCAAATTTTGCATTCAATTGCAACCAGAGCAGAAAAAAACTCAATCACCACAACGAAATTTCAACGAAATTTAAACGATTGCAGGCTTGGGATTCGTGGAAACAAGGTGACACTCAAGAGCTAAAGGACACGTCGTTAGACTCGTGCCCTGAAGACGAAGTTTTGAAGTTTATTCATTTGAGTCTGCTATGTGTGCAAGAGTATGCAACAGATAGACCTACCATGGCAGAAGTCATATCCATGCTCACAAGCGATTCCACGTTTTTCCCTGATCCGAAACAACCTGCATACTACATTTCGAGAAGTGAAGTTGGGCCATCGAGGCCTGATGGGAGGCGGCCGGACATGGGTTCAGCAGATTATGTGCCTATAACTGTGATGGAAGCCAGGTAAAAACTTATGCTACTTATATGGCACGAGTAAACCGTTATTATGACATTTTGTGTCAATAATATAATATTATATGTCAGTTTCTCCTTACGTGTCATTATATCATTAGCACGAAACATTATTGTAACAGTGTATCCGTGTTATAAAAATTGTTGTCATATCACCGACTACCCTTACATTCTAGGTCACGTGTTCGATTTCTCCCTCCTAACATCACTCGCATAACAACTTAAAAAGTCGAAGCGAAATGAAATATGCCAAAACAAACTGCGTTTTGGGCTTTTACTAGTCAGCTCCTTATTGCATTTTACTTTGTACCTGTCCCGTTTCACAAAACTCCACCATCTCTAAATTATTAATATTATATCTAAAATTAAAAACTTAGCGTGTATTTAGTATTTAAAATATTCAAGAAATGATCGGTATTTCAGTTAAAATATTTAAAAAATCAAGAATCGATTTGAAAAAGAGGATGAAATGCAAACTTCATCATAATCAATAAATATCAATAATATTTACTGACTTACTACAAATAATTGCTTGAACTCATTACTAATTTCGAACTTTTGAATGTTTTTTTAGAAATTTTTTTCTAATTCTGATTAAATCTGAACGAGTATATATACCCGTTCATTGCAAATTTTCATAATTTCCGTCGAAGACAACTAATAACGATATATCCATCAATATTTTTATAAATTTGCACATCAATATTTCCACCGCGCTGAACATATTTTACCACGTGAGGGTACTGCTATATTCCATCACGCATTAGCCAAACACGGCGAGTCAACGCCATGTGTTCAAACTAGAATAAATTTAAGCCCCTTGACCCCGTGACGGCTGAATAGAGGACTTTCAACCCTTTTTTATTCCAAAAAAATCTGCAACACGTTGGAAATCTTGAAACTTCAAAGCAATCAATAATGTTTCAACGAAAATTAATTATTATAATTAGTTCGAAATTAAAATGTTCATTACTTTGAGGAACCTTCGATCGTGACTGGGTAATAATTTCCAGACAACCCTCCTTGTTTCCGTGCCCTTCTGTTTTATGTGTTCACAGTTAAACCACGTCAACATTTTATATTGTTTTTTTATAGAGATAATAAGACAAAAATAAATAGTAATATAAAATGTTGACGTGATTTAACCGTAACCACACAAAACAGGAGGGCACGGAACAAGGAGCACAGACAATCCTTGTCCAATAATTTTATACCCATAAAAAAAATGAAGAACGATGCTTCCAAAATTTCAACCAATTTTGTGACAAAAGTCTTCCGACATACTAATATTTGTGCAGCTAAATTAATAAAAAAAGGGACAAATCGGGAAAAGTCAGAGGAGAAAATTCTTCAATTTGCAGGCCAATTCAAGCTACAAAAGCTTCTCTGAAAAAAAAATGGTTGACAGAAGCAAAATATTATAGCCGATGGCTGCACGGAGAAGCTTTCTGCTGCTGTTTTTCTCATGTTTCTTCATGCAGTATCTTCCCCCTTGTTATGCAGAAATAGTGCTGTACACGCTCAAGCAAGGGGAGCAGCTACGGGACCAGGAAAGCGATCACCTCGTTTCTCAGCGCGGTGACTTCAAGCTAGGGTTCTTCAGTCCCGGCGCTTCGAGTAACCTGGGTGCTACGAGCAATCGGTTCTTGGGAATATGGTATAGCAAACTACCAAATCATCCGGATGCGGTGTGGGTGGGAAACCCTGAAACTCCGGTCGTGGATTCATCTGGAGTGTTTGTGTTGGATAGTGATGGGAAAATGAAGATCAAACATGGTGGAGGGGAGATTATTGTATGGGATTACAATCAGACAGCTTCCGGTAATGTGACTGGTTATATGATGGATACCGGAAACTTTATGTTAAGAGAGGTAGCATCGGATGGAACACCTGGAAAGATTTTATGGGAAAGTTTTGATTATCCATCAAACACATTGTTACCTGGAATGAAGTTAGGGTTGGACCTTAGGACCGGGCGTAATCGAACAATTTCTTCATGGTTCAGCGATCAAGTGCCTACGCCAGGTGCTTTCAGGCTTAGTGTGGATCCCAGTAGCACCAACCGGTTAATCATCTGGCGGCGAGACGTTGTATACTGGACCAGTGGGATCTGGGAAAGTGGAAGTTTTCAGAGGGCCCCTGAACTCACAAGCAGGGCTGATTTGTTCGAGTTCAATTTTGTTTCAAATGCAGAGGAGAAGTACTTCACTTATACTGTTAAAAACAACTCAACTCTTTCGAGATGGGAACTCAATACTTGGGGCCAACTCATGCAGTCAATTTTAGGCTCAGACGGTACTACATGGGAAACCACAGCTACAAGTCCATGTACGTCCAACCCAAATTATCTGGATGCAGTGTGCATAAAGCAGACGACCTCTGAATGCAGGAATGGTTCTGAGCTATTTCTACCGATGAGAGGCTACTCAGGTGATGCTAAGTTGACGTATAATGATAGTAATACTAACTTGGATCTTAGCGATTGTCACGCAACTTGCTGGAGTGATTGCACCTGTGTCGGCTACGGACCTTTATATCACAATGGGTCTGGATGTCTGTATATGAGAGAAGGAGTACATTATGTCAAGAGCGATTACTTTGGAGTTAATTACTTCGCTACTATAGCAAATAATAGCAGAGGTATGTATGCCCTAATTACTGATTTAGCATGACTAATACTGAGTTTATCTAAATGCACCTATGAATCTTGTCATTCTTCTATCTTCAGTTCATGCTATTTGATACACAGATATGAACCTTGTAACGATAATATGTATTAGCTATAGCTCTCAACCACTTCAAGTACTTAAGTTAATGCTAATTTTGTGGTTGGGTATAGATGGAGCACCTACCGAAAAAGGAAGTACAAAGAGAGAATGGTGGATATGGTGTATCGTAGGCATTGTAATTGCAGTGGCACTGCTACTTTTGGGGTACTTCTGCTACACAAGGAAAAGAAAACTTCAACAAGTGCAACAAACTGGTAAGAAGAAACTATATAGGATTTTATGGCTGTTAAATTATGAATTGCAAGTACAAGTACCTTATATACTATTGCAATCACTGGGCTGCAGACAAGGCAGAAACAATCCAAGAGCAAGGATTACTTGACTTGGGATCCCAAATCAACGGATTGGGTGACATTTTCAAACTCAAATTCGGCAAAAGCCGAGGGCTGGAGTTTAAGATGTTCAGTTTTCCTGAATTAGTGACTGCAACAGATGACTTCTCATTTGCCCGAAGACTAGGAGAGGGTGGTTTTGGACCGGTCTACAAGGTAAAATCTAAATTTATTGACCAATGGCTATCTGGGAAGTTGATATCTAACATTCAAAGTTTTTGTAGGGTGTATTACCAGACGGGCAACAGGTAGCAGTAAAGAGACTTGCAAGACATTCAGGACAAGGATTGGAAGAATTCATGAATGAGATAACACTTATAGCTGAACTTCAACATAGTAATCTTGTTCGGCTTTTGGGTTGTTGCATTCAAGGAGAAGAGAAAATTCTGATCTATGAATACCTGACAAATACAAGCTTGGATGCGTTCCTCTTTGGTTTGTCCATAATTCCTTTCAAATTCAAAGACTCCCGTCTTCCATGAAATCTGTTAACTCTACTAAGCACACTATGAATTTCACATTAACTGCAGATTCCACTAGAGTGTATCTCTTAGATTGGCAGAGGCGCATCAACATCATTGAAGGGATTGCACAAGGACTTCTTTATCTTCATAAGCACTCTCGAGTAAGAGTCATACACAGAGATCTGAAAGCTAGCAACATTTTACTCGACGAAAGCATGAAACCTAAGATATCAGACTTTGGAATGGCCAGAATCTTTGGACAGAATGAGTCCAGAGCAAATACAAACAGAGTTGTAGGAACATAGTAAGTTTAAAAATCACAAATTTTCAGAGTAATGTCACCTAAAATTTACGTACTTGCTTATATGAATATGAACAGTTTCCTAATTTGTATGATGATTTTATGCAGCGGCTATATGTCTCCAGAATATGCCATGAATGGCATTTTCTCCGAGAAGTCTGATGTATACAGCTTTGGAGTTTTACTGCTAGAGATCGTTAGTGGCAGAAAGAACACTGTTTTTGTTTCATCTACTAATCTCAGCCTTATTGAACTTGTAAGTGTTATCAAGTTAGATCAAAATTAGCACTCAATTTCAACTAGAGCAGAAACACTCACACGGTGCATCAAAATTTAAATGACTGCAGGCTTGGGGCTTATGGAAACAAGGTGACTGTCTAGAGATAAGGGACACATCAATGGACTCGTGCCCAAATGACGAAGTTTCGAAATATGTTCATGTTGGTCTGCTATGTGCGCAAGAATACGTAGCAGATAGACCTACCATGTCAGAAGTCCTATCCATGCTCACAAGTGATATCATCTTTTTACCTGATCCAAAACAACCTGCATTCTGCGTCTCAAAAAGTGAATCCGGATCATCACAAGCTGAAAGGTCGGATATGGGTTCATCAAATGGTCTATCTATAACTGTCATGGAACCTAGATAAAGAATCTAACTTCACATTCCATCCGATAGTATTCATTATTGAAATATGAATTTTACAAATGTAATGCGACGCAGGGAAAATCCCGTTAAGTGTAGGAAGTTTTCAGATTCATTCTTGCCACAAAAGGCTGTTTCTTTGCTTTTTAATGAATATTTGTAAATTCGTGAAACATGATGTGAGCTTTGGAGTAAAGTAAAGGGTACACATTTCATCGAAATTCATTCAAAATTCAATATCAAACAACTCAATAAAGATTAAGCATAATCCGTTCAACTCATACAGTAGGGTGGGAGAGCATTTAAACCTAAAGCAACACTACAAGCACAAAGACACCGATTAAATATTGTTCTTATCTGGGTCAATCTTCTCCGGAGATTCCTCCTCCTGCTCTTGCTCCTCTTCCTCCTCCTCCTTCTTCTCCTCCTCGTCTTCGTCTTCTTCCGGCGGGTCATACGGCATAGGAGGCGGCAGAGGCGTCTTCATAGGACTGAACTGCGGGAAAATGTCAGGCCTCCGCCCCGGCTTTGGCCTCTCCCACTCCTGCAACACAATTCCGCAACACCAAAATCTAGTTATCAACCAAAATTCCAAACCCAATTAAAAAAAAACACAGCCGAAATCGTGAGTAGCTGAGGAGCACGCTTACAATCGGGAAATCGAGAGGGTTGCGGCGGGTGAGCTTCTCCTCATCCGGTGCCATACGCACCACCTGACTCCTCCGACGCCGGCGAGAATCGAACCACAGGGCGGAGGAAGGAGACGACGACCTTGCTGGGGATAAAGAAGATTGCTTTCGTCTCCAATTCGACCAACTGCAGCTAGGGGACACGCAGCTCAGCGTTGAGAGGCAGCTCGACGCCATAGCCATAGCAATCACTTCTCTTCTGCTTTCAACCGCTGCTTCTTCGGGTCTTCGCGATTGGACTTCTGACTTTCCAAGTTGCAGCAGGCTCCAAGGCTATAACAGTAATTTCAGTAGTATCGGACTGCAGGCCAGGCCGAGGCGCAACCGCCTTACCCAGAGCTCTCAGCCGCTACCTCTTCCTCTACCTGTCTTTTATTTCTATGTAACAAGTAAACCACTCCACGGTCACCCACAACTTTTCACCGATTTTCTCACCCTTTTTAATCAATTTATCATCCAATTATTTGTGGTTCTTCTTTGGGCCGACTAGCACAAATTCCACAGCCCAATAACCTATTGGGGCCATTGCGGTTGGGGTTTTCTTTATTTTGTTTTTTTATAGAAGCCTAGTTGCGGGAACGAAATTTGCTCACATGTCGTTTGTTGCAAAGGAAAACGCTCTTAACCGTTTATATCTACGGAAAATGATCTTCGTCGGATCTTTTTCTAGGAATTTAAGGAATTTCGTGATCGTGACCGTTTATTGTATATCATGCAGTCAGAAATCATTTCAAAATATAAATTATAAAATTAAATATAAATAGTACTTAACAAAAACTGACCGCTCGGTTGATCTTTTCCTTTATCTACAAGCTCTTTTACAGTGGTTACGACTAAGCCTTTGATTGACGTCCTGTCTAATTCTCTCTCTCTCGACCGCTTCTATGATTTGGAGTCCAAAAATTGTCAAGTTCTTGCTCTCCACACCTTCCCATGCGCTTTCTTGCTGGCACTGATTTCAGCACAATGACTGCCTCAGCCTCGGACATTGCCCATTTTTTCGCTTCCTTTTGCTTGTTATTCCCTGCAGCAATCCCACAGTTGTAATCTTGATCGCATTGTTGCTTCTCATCCCACCTCGGATTCTGTTGTTGCTTTGGAAGGGCCTTGGATGGATATGAAGAGATGCTCCGGGGCTGTAGATGCACCTTTCCATGTGCCTCTGACGAGCCTCTGCATCCCAAAGAAAGCTTGTTTCCAAATAGACACAGCCTCTTTGATCTCATGCCTGTGTTGTCATTTACCAATTTACTATCTTGACTCTGATGAATTCCTTGCTTGTAACTGTTTCCAGATTGCAGCGCGACCGATCCTGAAGATGGCACATGAAGATTTTGCGGTTTATTTGATGGATGGTAGCTTGGGGGAGGGAAGTTAAAAACAAAAACGAAGGGAATGTTGAGAGTGGGATTTGAACCCACGCCCTTTCGGACCAGAACCTTAATCTGGCGCCTTAGACCAACTCGGCCATCTCAACTTGTTGCTAGAAATTTTGCAAAGGTATACTTATAGTATTCTACCATTGGTCTCAAACTCCCATTTATGACCTTTCCTTAACGCGTAGTTGTATAATGTTGGTTTTGTTGTACTTAATGGGTTTGTGTAATTCATGGTGTCACACTTTTTTTTTATTTAGTTAACGAGTAGATTCAAGGGGACGGGAAAGACCATCATATAAGGTAAATAATTGGCGTTTTTTCCATTCTTATTAAATAAATTGTACTTCCCTGTTATTTTCTTGTTCATTTCATTTCAGTGGTATAATATTTATTCAAAACTCAATTGTGCTCTCTTATTCAATAAAAGTTCTACTTTGAGGTATTTGAAGAAAATTGTTTCAAGTGTTTTTGAACTCGCAGTACAAATACATGTGTCATATTTCAGTATAATATTGGCCATGAATTTGAGTGTGACAACATCCAAACTCAAATCCAATGTTACGAAACGTGTGTTTTGATTAGTTCTATTTGAATAGAGTGTATGGAGTTGATATTTATCGGTCTCACAAAACTTATGTGACTACCACTTAGTTTCAATAAAAAGCTACACTTTGCAACCTAATGAACATCGTTGGAAACACATTGCCTAAGTTTTGAACAATTCAAGATTGAAATCCAAGATTAAGGTGCTTGAATTTTTCCTCCCACACAATAATTTAAACATAATATATCTTCCCCTAATTACACTCATGAGTCATCATCGCTGGTTGAAATTTCTTTAATACAGTTGGTATTTTCGTGGAAATATTCGAAAAACCAAAGAAAGATATGAAAGATTTTGTCGATATTTTTGACATATTAGTTAAATATCGTAGAAAATCTTGTATTTCGTCTAAACCAGTTTTTGATATTCTCTAAAGTTTTATTCTAAATTTCCACCATTTCCACTTAAACCAACCGATATCGATATATTTCATATTTTTGCATATCAATATTTCCACAAATATCAATATTTTAAAAATTGATCATCACATATCTTTCTTTTCTTTTATGTTATATCAAATATCGCCTCAAACATCCTTATGCCAATATTTACAAGCTAAGATCTAACTTTTTTTTATTGCATTTTTTGAAATTATGAATTGGGCCAACATGTACTTTGTGGACCCCTAATATTACAAGATATTCCGAGTGGAATGTTTTTATCAATATAAAACATCTTACCGACAAAATAAATACCAATTCAAATTCAACTTTTCCCTCCTCTTATGCTTTTTTGACAACCAATTATGATAACCTTAGTCGCAAGGGTGGGTGACATTCCATGCCATTCATCATATTTGCCTTATTCCATTTGTGGACCTCTCAAAATCAGTTTAATAATGAACCGTGACTTCTGGTCTTACTCTTTAAATTTCGAAAGCATGCCCTACCTTGAGAAAAAAAATAAGTTTTTCATAAAACCAAGTACACCGTCACGACATTTGTGTACGTGGTCCACTTTCATATGTCCCTAAATTTCAAATGAAAGACCAATTTTTTATATTGGGTGATCAGGATTGGCTTGGTTTTAGATTAAGAAGTAGGATTTAATTTAAGGGCTAACATTAAGTATTTAGGTCGTTAGATTTTTTTTTGTCAAAATATTCAATGAACAAAATTTAACCAATTTTTATTTATTCATAAAATACACCAGAACATAATAAATTTTGATCGGAAATGCAAGTAAGTAATGTGAATTCATTAAACTAGGGTTGAATCAAGCAAATCCTACGGTCCTACCTGCCCCATAAAGCATAGACCCGCGATGTAATGGATCAGAGTCATCAGACCATGCACTCAACGACGTGAAGACCACCAATCCCCGCCCGAAACAACCGACCACGTGGTCCCCGCCACCCATCATCTTCTTCCGTCCTTCCTCCCCCTCTCTTCGATAGCTGCCCCACCCCCGCCCTCTCTTTTTCAAAAGTTTCAAACTCTCCCTCTCTCCTCTCTCTCACTCTCTCACGCTTGTTTGTTTCCCGAGAAAACCGAAGAGAAAAAAGTTGGACAAGAAAATCTTCCAACATTAACCACCACGACTGCAACAGCCAGCTTCTCTCAGACGCTTTCTCTCTCATAATATATAACTGTACCGCTGTTTCGTGCGGACATTGGAGTCGATACATTTGCAGAGCTCGAGTCGACGAAGATGAATGCGGTGGGGAGACAGATGTCGCGATCTAGTTCGTCAATGCACCACCACCGTCGTCAGTACTCGGACCACTTCACGGACGCGCCGTCCAAGTGGCTGCAGTCCACCAGCCTCTCACAGGTCCGATATTAATTTGATTATCTTTTCAAATTCGCCCCTCGTTAAGCTCGAAATTGCATGCCGGACCCTGATAATGCGAAGCATCTCTGTTTTGAATTTTTTTGCAGGACTTCGAGCTGTACGGGACGAGAATGAGCAGGCAGAGTCATAGAAACGGCAATGAGCGATCGCCACCGGGGGCTTCGACGCCGCCGCCGATTCCGTCGCGATCGTCGAGCATGAGAAGGAACGGCGACGATCGAGTTTCGCCGAGTGAGCTCAGCCCTGGCTTGCTTAATATTAATTCATTTGACACTGAGCTATTACCTGAGGTTTGTCAATTTTGTTTTTTTTACTGATCAGAAAATTTACGTTTTTTTTTTTTTTTTTTTTTTGTTAAACCTACATTTCTATGCTTTCCTTCAGTAATTATCAAGATTTAGATAGTAAGTTAATACGGCGCTAAAAATAGTTTGGTTACTAAAGAAAATGAAAAGTTCAGATTGTGAGATTAACCAGTGGTTTGCTTAAAGAAATGAATGGTTCAGATTGCGAGATTAACAAGTGATTCACTAGAAAAGAGGAGGAATAGTTCGGATCATGAGATTAAATTGTGGAGTCGGCATGTAGCGGCGTATTAATTAACTTTTTAACTGGTTAGCGCTCGAGCAATACTGACAAATAATAGCTTTTTGATTACATAATATTTTTCATTTCCGTCAAGCAGGCTACGAGCAGATCACGAGTTT